TAATATTGAGTTTTAAAATTTCAATATTGTCGAGGAAAGGTTAAAAGGAATTTGATGTACATAAAAGAAGAACAAACAGATTTTAGAAGAAAAATGAAGCGGTTTTGAGGCATAGGAGCTAATCCAGAAATAGGAAATGATCCATTCCATATCGGACCCACTTCAACCTCGACACACCACACCTATTAGGAGTCCATCCTACAAAACCATAGGGTCCTGGACCTTTCCACTTAAGGATGGTTAAGCAGACGGTCCTGGACTCCAAAAGGAGTTGACTGTACTGACTCAAGGAAGAAATGAGCACAGTAAGTCAACAAAAGAATGGTAGTCTGGCCCATGAGGGACATAGGCACATTACCGATGTATGAAAACATAACTACCTGATCAAAGATGGAGAGAGGAACCAGTATGGAGTCGCCAGAAATTGTCGATCGTTTTATTTAACTTTCGTGGTTTGAAAAAGTGGTGATTTTGTGATTTTGAAAGTAATTTAAATATAAATATAACCCTTTTTTATATTTTTAAAAGTAACATTTTAATTTTTAAAATAAGTGAGACAAAACGAGTCTCACATTTTAAATAGTTTAGATGATTTAATACAATAATCCGAGTAATACACTTATCCCGAAAAATAAATATATCACTTGTAATAAGGATTCAATCATCTAGACTAAACAATTTGTGACTTCCGTTTGGTCTGTGAAATTGTCTTATTTGCCGACAAGTTTTCCTACCTAATACGAGGATTAGATAAGGTTTATTTTATCTGGGTTCCTGGTTTCCTATAGAGGCAAGCCCCTATAGTTAATTATATCTTAAATGACTGGGAGTCATTTAAGAAAACTCTCGATTAAGATCAAGTGGTTTTGTTTTCAAGATTTCAAAGTTTAGGTTTTCACGATTGGGACATGGGAAAATCAAATGGGAATGACTCAAACTAGGAACAATTATTTAAGTAATTCAAAGGGAAAAAAAGTAGGAGATATCACAGATCTGAGGAAAAACCCCGGTGAACTCCCAACTATCCTATTGTTCAGCTTTATGTCATTTAAAATGATTTAATTTGATATTTCAATCCTGCAAATTATTTATGATTTAGGACTCATGTTTGCACAATATCAGACTATGCAAATAGCCTAAAAAGATAGGAGGATTTACACCGTACCGCACGGTAACCTCAGAATCTTAAAGCGTTAGGACTTATAATTGTACAATATAGTACAAAAAGCCTAAAGAGTGATCCTATAGGTGGTTATTTAAACTAAAGAACGTAATAGGTGATGTGAATGTGTTTATGTGATGTGAATATGTTTTGTTGCTGCAGATCCACCTAGAAATTGTTCCTTGTCGCGCTGCCCACGATGAGGGGCAGCAAGAGGAACAAAACATAAGCCCCAAATGCATCTTTTCCAATTCAGAAAATAATTTTCAACATGTATTTCTTACTTTCAAACATTTCAAGCAACGAAGGTAATATAGGCAGTCCCTAAATATGTTTTTCCATATGTATTTCTAAAAGAGTAAAATGCATTCCAAGACCAC